GGTGTCTTGGGTTAAGTTTTATATATTTGATTCTCTTTCACAAGAGATCAAAAACAGTGTTTTTCCATTCCCCAAAAGATTTTAAAGGTGCACGAAATTTATCAGACCAAGTTACTATGCATTTCCTCGTTTGAGATTTTAGATTATTATGTAACTTTTTGAAATTAATTTTACTTGGTTGTTCTCGAAATTGTGGTCCAAAGCGAAAATGTTTTAAGATTATTATTTTTAACAATATCGAAGTTTCCTGTCAGTATATGGTCATGAAACTTGTCTTTAAAGGAAGAGTTGGCGCATTGACATGTAGTATTATCGTAATTGTTAATAAATTCTTGTACGTTAAGGTTTTCAATAGTTTGATGGTAATTAAATATTTTATTACGAATTGGAGGTAAAAATTTGTATACGACTGTAGGTGAAATTTTAGGAATAGTATCTGTTATAGATTTAATTACTGATCGGTCTCTAAAGATTATATTCAATCTAATGTCTTGTATATGTTTATCTGTAAAAATAATTTTACATAACACGTCAGTTTTTTTTTTCTTTTGCACTTTATGAGGCTGTATTGAATGGTTAGGTGAAAATTTACAATTTATCAAATCGGTTATAGCATCGTAATATTTAGGAAGAAAGCGTTCATTAAGTTGATTAGAATAGATGATATCCTGTATCAGGACGCCAAGTTTCTTAGCTGTAGATTTTTTGAAAGTGTGTATAATTTGTCGGCTAGGTTGAGTATACAAGTTTTTTATTTTGAAATTTATGATGAAGTTTTTTGTAACAATTTCTTGTAATCAAAGTGTTTTCATGACGATTAATATAATCGATGTTTTTAAATCTGTCATTGAGACCATAAGGAAAAATGGTCTGTAAATTTATTATCCAAGTTTCTTGTGCGCGAGTTCTTTTTTGTGTAACTGCAGGATCAATTTTGCCATTACTGAGGCGTCCTGTACCAGGAAGTTTTTCAATTATTTGAACTCTGTATCCAAAATCCTTACATGGATTTTGTTTCAAATGTTGATGTATTAGTTTGTCCATTTTCAGAATTTCCTGCTGATCTATGATTATTAAACCTTGTTTTACAAGATTTAGGCTACTTGTTTCCCCAACATACTGTACTCTGCAGTAATTGCAAGTCAATAAATATACTATATTTTGCGTATTACAATTAAGGTTTTGATCTATAGAAATATGGTAGCATCTACGAGTAACGGAGCTACCAAATGTGTGGGCTTCATTGTAATCAGTACATAATTTACACTGTGTATAGTTACAAGCACCAAAATACAAGACTACAAAATTCACAATTTATATTCGAATCAATTAAATTATTAGGTTGGTAACCCTGTAGGGGTAAGATTTGATGTCACATTAGTCGAAATCCCCCGCCCCCCCCCCCCCCACAGCCAATTCATCAGAATTACCTGCTAGATTCTTATTGGTGAGATTAATGTGTATTGAGTAAACAGGAGCGAAACCCGACAACGAGAACTTTCCTTAGTACGAAGGGTTAAAAACTCTACTCTAATAGTAAGTGCAGGGGGGACTGCACCACACACAATTTACACAAAAACAAATACACGTACAAGACATCATACTCAGGAAAATACAAACAGACAGACAATTCAAAAAAAGTGAATGGATCCGAGGGCTAGCCGTAAGCGTCCACTGGGCTGTACAGTCCCGGGTCTGTAGTGACACAGACTTCACTCAAATTTGAAACAATCAGGAATACAACCCAAAGAAACCATTGTTCAATGCCAGCAAGAGTCGTGATCTGCTATATATGCTACACGAAATATGAATGTAAGCATATCATATTGTAGTAAAATTCAACTATACAAGTAACCACATCGGTGAAATGTGTAAACCTAAATGCTCTAAAATCAATCAAGAAACGTTTCAGTATTCTATGCATATAGGGCACATGTTCCATCCGTCGAGAGACAACCGTCTGCTAACCGAGGGCGACGTTATTTTGCGAATGACGTCATATCTTAGACGACCGTGATAAAAAAAATCACAATAATAAGGGCGATAATCCAGATAAAATAACGTTAAAAGCTTAAAAACTATAAGTTTTAGCGACTAATTGGAATTATTAGGTTATGTAATTGTTAATTGTACAATTTATAATATATTATTAATATAATACCCCACACAAGAAATGCAAAACAGGTAAGCTGAAGAAATCGTACTATGTAAGTGTATTTATAAAGGCATAAAAAATAAGGGAGGTAATTCAGACAGGGTTAGGTAACTACAGAAAATCTAAAATAAAATTTAAATTGGATCATTATCTAGCATGTAGTCGGTTATATACTTATAAGAAATGTCAAACTTGGTATGTTGAAGAAATGGAAGTTTTGAAATTTCTTTTAAAATGCGTAATTGTGTACGGCCTTTGGCAGTGCATTTAAAATAAAGAGGTTTTATTCGGGAGGGGAAAAAGTTCTTTATTGTTACATATTGTCAAAAATCGTAATGCCTGTGAATAGAAAACACTATATAGCGTGGTATCTGGTATGTAACTATAGATAGAAAAGACTAAGAGCGACTTTGAAACTCCAGAAGAAATTAAAACGTTTAGGCTAACAAGAGAAAAATTCTGGATTGACAAATTAAAAACAATAGCCCTCCACCCACCAGGTTTGAATATTCACACGGCCATAGTGCAAAAGCCCCCTTTGTAGTCCAGAAAACACTATACTGATCTCCAGGAAAATCACCCGAAAATTTTCACACAGGTACTTATAATTGCATATTCTAAAAATAAAAATCTGAATGACATCTTAGTGCAAAGTAAATTAGACTAAATAAGACCAATCCTCACCTTAACCCAAAGCCAATAATATATCAAACCCTAGCCCTAACCCTTAGTAAATAAAATCAATTAGATATAAGAATCACTAGCCGTAACCCGGGGATAGTGGAACAAACAATTTTTTAGAAAATCCAATCCTTAGTATAGGAAACACACTAATGTGGCTCTCAGAAACAAAACTACCAGAAGATAATCAGCGCCACCAACACCAAAAAACAGCGAAACCAACCTATTTCAATTTCCAACAATCAAGAGTTCTTTTACGCGTACGCCAGCGTATGCACCATGGATAATGGGAAACCATGTCTGAAAATCACGCGGAAACAACGCTGTCCGGGAATATTTTCCTCACACACTGCATGGCGTATACACATCTTCATTAGTCAGATTTGTGCCATGCACGAAATCATCGGTTCCGGTTTGCATCTAGGCCAACAGAAAAGTGCTTTAAATCTCATCTACGGCGATGTAATTTTCGAATGTTTTTTTTTTTTTTTTTTTTTTTTTGAGAGAGAGAGAGCCCACGTACCCTCCGTCGCTCTGACACTTCGGAATGAGCCGCCTGAGGCAGTAGATCTCTTAACCCGCCCCTGCTCAGCAAAAATTGAAGCCATTGTAAAAATGGAAGACCCTAAGATTATTCATGAACTGGAATGGTCAATAAGCAGATGAAGTTTTGCCCGAATTTTGTAGAATTACCAAATCCACTCAAGAGATCCTCTCAAGAAATGGAATACATGGCACTGACACACACAGAAGACACAAACATTCCAGCCCATCAAAGAATTACTGTTGTCAGACTAACGTTTAGCTTTATACAACACGCAGGGGCGTCGTGCAAAAAAAAAATTTCGGGGGTAGGGGGCAATTTTCTGCAAGTGTTTTCATGGTAAATTAAATTTACTGGCCACATCGAATGCCACAGGCATGAGCATGGATTAGAGACAATAAAGTTATGATTATACAATTCCTGGAGACCGTGTGATGACTAAAACAGACGGACAGGTCTTCTGTCTTAATAATATCAATAAAAATATTTTTATTTCCCTGAGAATTTGAGGGCAGCCCCCCCCCCCCCGCGGGCCCCAATGGACACGATGCCACTGACAACACGGACAGAGGGAAATTAGGCTGGTATGAGAACTTCGGTTGGACGTGAGCTGTGGAAAAAATCCGAAACAAGTGATTCTTGGTTTTTATGAAAGGTCTATTTAAGTACAACTACAGCAAAAAAGACTTACGCCCCAAGCAGCTAAGTCGTCCAGGCAGTCAACAAGGGTTGTTGCATATTTTTTTCTTTTGTCAGTAAGGAGAACATTTACAACACATGACCCGTTATGTAATTATCAGAAATCTTTAGATTTTGTTTCAATTGTTTGTCTCATGACCTTAAACAATTTCTATTAACTTTAGACTCTAGAGTGTCCACAGGATTTTTCAAAGTAATCAAGGGCCGTAGCTCTGGCAGTAATTATTGGAAATCGTTGAAAATGACTATGATTCTTCATCTGGTGACCTTAAATAATGTGTATAGATTTGAGTCAACTGGATATTAACTTTAGCCTCTATAGATTCTACAAGATTATTCAAAGAGGTCAAGGAACAAAACGCTGGCAGTAATTATTGGAAATAGTTGAAAATCAATAGGCTTCTTCGTCTCATGACCTTAAACACTGTGTATAAATTTAAAGTCTCTCGAATCACAGGAATCGTATATATATGCATACACCATACCGAACTAGACAATATTTTATAATAAAAAAAAAGAACAGGAATGCAATGCCTGTTGAATGAATCCTCGATTTTACCTGCTCTCGCTTCGGCTCGGTTGGTTTTTTTTCATCAATTCGTAATGTCAGGCAATCAAACCTCTGTCGATTCACTCAGATATGTTTTTTCTTCAATCTAGAAAAGTCACCGATTATCTTCTACTTTACTCGTCATACACCCGGGCCCCTCTAGGCTCCGGGCCTCTGGATAAGTGTTCCAGCTGCACCCCCCCCCCCCCCTGCCCCGCTGGCGACGAGGCCTGTGTTTTGAGAAGAACTTACAACTCATTTCATTCATGTTTAATGTATCTGAATCCTTTACTTTCTCTAGCTATTCTACTGACTTCATGACTGGCTGCCCTCAAAATACAGCAGCAATGAATAAAACAGTTTCATTTAGTTTATATTTTATTTCTGTGTATAGACTGGAAGTAACATAATAACAACATAATGTACAAATATAAATAATATAATAATATACAATTACTATAGATTTGGGTTTATTCGACTGGTCTCTTAAAGATACATTATGGGAGATTAGATAAAGAGCTGGCAGTTCTCACTATAATAGTTAAAAACTGGATAATGTAAAGGGAATTTGTTGAAAATTTCAGTCAAATTGATCCACTCTGAACCGAGAATTTAGCGACTGAATTTTGGGCCTAGCTTTGGTCATTATTACTAAAGTCGGTACCATAAAAAAAAACATAGGTCTCGATTATCCATTTTTTGATTTAATCATCAATGAGCGTTGAGCTGCAGATCGGATTCTAATTCAGTAAATATCACAGGCTAGCGATTATCGTCTGGATAAGTTAGTTAATGTCTAATTAATAATTAAGATAACATTTCAGGCCTAAAGAAAGACCTGCAATTGGCAGATTTAGCTCTTGCATAATGTATGTTTAAGAAGATTCATTATTTTTTGGTAGATATTCATGGTTTAGGGGTGGAAGGGTAACAGAGTTAAGAGGTTGGTTACTGTCACATGTACGGCGGATAGTTACATTTTTATAGTATGCTACTTCGGGTTCAGATATCTCAAATTTTCAGTGGTCACCTCATACAAATTTTGAAGCAAAGACATGGCCAGAAGTTGCTCTGTCTGTAGGAAAAAGCTTTCAGCCCAAATAAAATTTGGGTGAAAGATGGAGCCGGGTAAAACGACTGAATTAACCTTGACCCCAATACGGAAGTAAATTGTGGTCTGCATCCTATTAACAAGGCGGGATTACATTAGCACTGAGAGTTACACTGAGATCCTTCTTGCCATGGGGTGTAAGACTCCAACACATGTGCTGTAGATTATAAGATCTGTCATTGAGTCAAGTATCACAGTTATGATCCTATATGTGACAAGGGGAATGATAGCTTGCCTAACCTTCTTTATATTCTCTCCAGTTTCCTCTACAGCTAAAGACCCCTGCACCAAAGCAAATTATTGAAATAAAGATCTGCCATGTTATGTACAAATGTACAATTGTAGTAGTTTGTGTTGAGTGGATGTTAAACCTCATTTCTCTTTTAGCATGAATAAGAAGGGCAATTTCTTGACAAGAAGACTCAAAGAGAATGTGCCAAACAGAAAGTGTAAATTATATACTGGGAGAGACTCGAGAAAAACGCAGCACTAACATTACACACCATCTCATTTTTAGCAGTTTCTAACATGAAATCAAATCAATAGAGTTGTTATGTGTGTGATAAAGGGGTATCATAGATATCAATTGAATGTTGAATATTCCTGGTGTATAAAAAATCTCTATAAATGACACCACTATAGTACAATAAAAACTCTGTGAAATAAACTATAAATAAATTTGCTTAAATCTATCAGACAAGAAATTAACCCATCATGAAATTAATGCAATATCTGATGGTTGTCAACACACATTAATATGACCCATCAAATCCTACTCTTACCTAAAATTATGACAGTGTGGCTTCTTGTAATATTAACAAAGAATGTATTAAAACACACTAATTTTTTTTAGCAACCATATTGTTTGACTTATGATCTAATAATTATTGTGTTGTTTTTAGGGGTGTTATGGTTATTCTGATAAACAGTATTTTGGTTGTTTACAGGACAGAAATAGATACTGAAACAAATATAACTGGTGATAGGTGGCATTAAATGCATTCATTTTATGTTCACATTCAATTTCTTGCTTTACAATAAATTACACAATACAATCCTCCACATACAGCTTGGTTCAGATTACAACAGATATAGTCACTGTAAATTAGTTTGTAACAACCAGTGTTAAAGTCAAGTCATAGTAATTATCAAATATTTACTGACAAAATCAAATGTCTTCTGGTACTGTTTTATCAGGTAAATAAAATCTCTACTTCTTTCAAGAGTTGTTGCCCTTTATCACCTGCTTTGTGACAGTAATATTCAGCAGCTTTCCGATGTCCAAGGTTTGTGAGAAAACGAGCATATTCTAAATATACTGCTTCAAATAAAGATGCTGTAAATAAAATAATATAGGTCAGTATAGAAAAGGGTAATTCACCAATACCAAATGATTTGCAAATCAATTTTCGTTATAATGGAGTTACTTCCCCTGAATAAGTCCTACCCTTTCCAAATAGTAACATCTCCAAGACAGTAATATATAGCCTGGGTGCTCCAGATCATTTTTGTCCGAATATTACAAATTATCACTATATCGAAACACCTGATGTGAAACTCACCATTATCTTTTGTATTTTCCATCAAATTAAATTCTTTACAAGCTTCAATAAAACACACAGCCCGATCAAAACATCTCATTCCATATAACATCTCTACAACTTTATAAAACTGACCTAAGGACAGTAAAACTAACAGTGCTTTACTCTGTAATATGAGAAAATAAAACAAGTTAAAATTTTAAATTAGATATAATAGGTACAAGCAAAATACAATACAGACTCAACGATAGAACTGGGTTCTTACAAATCAGTTACATGCGGTGTAGTAATTGTATATCGACATTAAGCAATTAATTCCTCAGTATGTATAATTATGTACATACTAGTCAGTTCATTATCATTGCTTTGAGCAAGTTCTTGTTATGGATTCATTTACCTTATGTCTTTTTATTACTGTAGGCCTATAAATACTTAGGGTTTTACTGATATATAACCATTTGCTTCATAAAGCTGAGAGTAACATCATTGAAATGTTGAATGTTTATGAACCAGTTGATTGTTATTCCATATATATATACAGTACATATTGTAGTGTGTTACTAAATGTCATTCAAAGAAGAGATCTCATCATCTGTTTTTAGTATTAATACATGTTGTTTATAGTAATTCACATAAATAATTACTCTTTCTCATGCAGCCTTTTATAAATGATGTTAGCGGTATCGGAGAACCAGAATACTTTTCTACAGTCAAATTTGTAAAACTCCTACCTTTAGATTGATCTGTGTACCACACAAATGATCAGCATATCTCTTCATTAACTCACTTCTCTCATTGTGGTCTAATGTAGCCTGGAATACACGAGGGGAGTGTGTTAAGAATCTTTTAACACCAACCCTGTCCCCCAGGGATATTTTTTTTTCATCAATGCAGTGATAGTAAAGATCTGGTAGAATATCAGGTTGATTATCAGAAAATATTTCATGTACATAATCAGAAGATTTAAATGCCTGCCTACGTTCCATTGTACAACTTCAACTCAAAAGTAGAACAGAATTGGTTCATATGAGACATGGTAATAGGCGATCTAGAAAAAGTAAGCATACTCTACCTCATGCTACTTATAGATAATTTGGGTATTAAGTCTAGAAGACAAAGAGAGAGACAAATAGGGTTTAACGTCCACTCGACACAAACTAGGTCATTACGGGACTAACATATGGTTTAATTTTATTTACATAATTCGCTTGCGTGTAGGGGTCTTTAGCAGTGGGAGGAAACCCGAGGACCCGGAGAAAACCCATGAGGTTGGACAGGCGACCCTATTCCTTGTCACGTACAACCGGGGATTCGAAACCACACCAGTCGACTCAATGACAGACTTTATGATACAGCGCGGGCGCGCTAACCATTCAGCCATCCAACCCCCCCCCCCCCCCTAGAAGACAAAGATATTTGTCTGTAACCCTCATACACACAAGAAGGATGATGATGTTGTGGAGATCCGGTCTGTACAAACTTGAATTTGCAACACATCATATTGTAACAGTTTGTATTTTTACCTTGGCTAACCAGACAGATTTATCCCAATCCCCGTATGTTTGTAGGTAGCGACAGGCATCCAGACTCTTATCTATCAAACACAGCAACTGTACTCCCTCTAGAAAACATAATAGTTGAGCAAATATACAAATAAATCACTGCTATATTGGACAAAAATAATCAGACACTTGTGAACACCATTGAAATAACCAAATGAATAATAAAGTTTATTAGTGTCTTTAGTGGGTATGAATTTCTGTTTCAAAAAGTTTGAATTCCATTTTAAATAAGATTTAAACATATAATACCCTAAGACTTTGTGACATCAAATCAAATTCTTTCAATATAATTAGGTTGTATAGGTTTTTGAGAAATATAAAAATTTGTTTTTCTTTAATTTGGTGTTTAAGTCGTTCCAGTGAAATTTAAGACTGTTATTCCCATAAATACATGTTGGGTAATGAGACATTTTTCTGTTCAAAAATTAAACATAAAGATATGTTTTAAAACCATTGGTTAAATTATGTTGTGGACTATATATACACTGATATAGGTTGATACTATATAAAGCTGTATAATAATTACCAGAGAGTTTTCCATTGGCTATCAGATTTGTGGCGACTAATTTTATTGTACTTTGAGATGCTCCAGATGACCGTATACTAGCTACCAGACAAGCCCTACAATTGAATAAATACATGTTCACATATAATCTAGAAGTATAAGCTTGGATGTCTCCCAACTTCTTCTTTCTATTTCTACACAATTGGACTGAATGATTTTCTTATGTTAAATTACGATTAATCAAAATGAGATTAATATTTATATCAAAACATATGAAGGACAATCATGAACAAAATGTATCACTCGGTGCAAGCTATAAAGAAATTAACTATGCGTGACTGCATTCATTTCCACATATTTATTCAAACATGAATCCTCATTACTGCATTAGGTAACATCTAAAATATGCTTCAAATATGAAACTATGGTATTCATAATTTTGTGTCAGAAATAAAGAAGATGACTTCTAACCTTAAAGAATCAACATAATATGTTGTGTTATCTGCCTCTGTCTCCAGAAGCAACTGTACAGCGCGATCTGTCTGTCCCAATAATATATAATTCTCCACACATTTATGCGTATGATCATTGGTTGCCCGTTTGTTGTCATGGAGAGCCACTCGATCTAGTTGATATTTCTATTAAAAAAAGAATAATATTACAGGAGTCTAAATTCACTTTCTTACCTAATCAGCAACATGAATTTTTAAGTAAATATTGAACGCAACTGAACCATATCAGAGTTTCAACTTTCCCAGGGTTCCTGTGGCTTCGTCAAAATTTTTTTCAAGGATATTCAAGGATAAATATACGTCAAATTCAAGGATTTTCAAGGACATTTTTTAGCCTAAAGTTACAATTTTTCATCTTAAAAATAACCAAACCATTACCAACTATCGTTATAATCTCATATTTAAAAGGAATTGAAGACATTTGAAACAAAATTAAGGATCTCAACTGAAATTCAAGGATATTTTCCTATTTCCGCGAAATTCAAGGATATTCAAGACCTTGAAAATGAAATTTTAAATTTAAGGATATTCAAGGATTTTCAAGGACCGCGGGAACCCTGTTTCCCAATATTTTAGTTTGAAAGCGATTACAAATCACTCAAATGACATCAGAGATATTCTAATTGAGATATATAATGATCTATTTACCTTAAAACTATCAGAATCTATTAAAATATCATAACATCTTTCTAGTGGTTGATCTCTATATAATTCATTCAGTAAATACGATCTTTCTTGTTGGTCTGGATTGTCCAAGACTACAAGGTCTGTAGCCTCTTTATAACTGGGTGTAGATGGAATAAATAAATCACCCATATCTGACTGAGATGTCACTCGACTTGGTGCCTGTATATGGATAATAATTTAAATTAGAAATGATCCCTTTTACCAAGTAATATGCTTCTGATATGGTTACTTTTCATTTCTATATATTGTCTACATATTTACGGTGGCTAAGTGGCCAAGATGCTGGCTCGCTAGCCTGGAGGTCGGGTGTTCGATCCCGTTATTGGCCGAGAAAGTTCATCAAGATTTTCCGGCGTGGTTCTCCCTTGTCAGTGATGCAGGACGGAAGGGCTGACAAGGAAAGCTGTCTAGTCGTTCGAATGGGACGAAAAACCGAGGTCCCGTGTACACATTGGCGTGCACGTAAAAGATCCCTTGACAGTTGGAATTCGATATAAGAGTAGGCCGTAGTGCTGCTGTCCGGGCAAAATTTCCCTCATAGCACACTGTATGGCATATGCCCGTCTTCATTAGCCCAGTTCAGAGCAAAACAGTAGGACGTTAAACCCCATTTCATTTCATATCATTTCATTTCCTTATCTTAGGAATATTGTGGCTTTAAAAGCTACAATATAATATCATGCTCTAATATTTACTCACTTTAGCTGAATTTGTAATTTAACTGTTTTATTATCATCAAAGTCCCTAACAATTTGATTCTTGACAAACTTATAGAGGTATGGAAAGCCAACCCTTTAACTTCAACCAGACAATATTAGTCTAAAAATAAATAACAAACCTTGCTCATTGGTTGGTATTTTTCTGATCTTAAATAGTGAAGAGCTACTGTCCAGAAATGGAGATCAGATTCATCGCCAAATATTCTGGCTATTAGCAGACATCGCTCAGCTGTTCCAAATTGTGTACGAGGCAAATAACTTGTCATAGAACTAAACAAAATCAAATAATTAATATGAATACTAATAAAACAAATCAGAGAAAACAATCATTGTGAAAACAATCAACCGACACCAACAGGACAGAAAATTGCCAATAAAATTGTTGGCCATGTGGATTTCCCAAATATATAAGAAGTGTTGCCCTACTTCTTGTATTAGTCACTATATATAGCTAAACAGAGTGATTGAGTAATTCACATAAAGCTAACAGATTTTTAATTTAATTTTTTTTTTTAAAACACTGGTTTGATGACTCTGATGGTTTTCGTAGTCTTGTGTTTATCTTCTACCCAGGAGACTTTGGCTCCTGGTAGCTACAAGTAGGACTGTGGTGGAACAGGCTTATTCTTTATAGAACACCTGATACCACTTTTTATTTGAGGAATTGACATAGCTAAAAAACCTTATAATCAAAGTAAAAGGATTTATTGGCTTTGTAAACTTCTGTCCTCAACCAAAAAGAGGTATGAGGTGTTATCTTACCTGTCTATTAGATTAAGTTGTTTATTTATTGTATTTTCTGTCTCGATGTCATCTTCTCGCATGCTGGGTGCCATAAGATTGTATGTCTCCTCCCATGGCTGGTGTTGTAAAATACATTTTAATAATTGAGAAGATTTGGATGAAACTAGGTGAGGACAGAACAATGGCTCTGTAAAAAATAAATAATATATTGTATATTAAAGATCCAAAATGAGTTAAATATTGATACAAACAAACCCCATTAATAATCACACACATAATCCCAACAAAAAAACAATACAGATTTGAAAAGGTGTAAAAACTTAGGGAAAGAGAGAAATGTTGTATGTCCATGATCTAAACTTCAGGGACTTTAGAAATTACACCTGATCACTGGTTCAGTAAATGACTTGAAATTAATTCATGTGTGAATTATACTGAAGATTTTTACCCTATTTATAATTTTCACAATCACTTAAACATGTTAAATAATAAACAAGCAAAAAACCTGGAAGATCCCAGTTATCCGTTGGTGAACTTGAGTTCCTTAATGTTATATCTGTAACATGTAATGCTCCATTAGTGGTAACCAGCATAGGACGATCTGATCCCGCCCACTCTGCATCTGATATCTTCGCAATCTCTTTTGGACTTTTTATAAAATACTGAATTTCCACCTGAAGTTGTACAATACCAGTATGTTAAATATGTTAAATCTAAATAGATTCAATTTTGGTAAAATAATATGTTGATGTTATATTTCGATTAGTGACGGTACAAGCTCAATAAGATTAAACTTTTGTTTTAAAAGATTTAAAGGAAGTTGGTTGTGTTTTCTGATTTTCTTTTCTTTATGGCCTTGAACTACCAACAATTGAATGCACTATCAGTTGATGTTGAGGAGGTTTACACAAAAAATCTGAGTGCATTGCAAAGCCCTTCATGAGGACATACAGAAAAACAATTGAAGAATAAACCATATGTCAAAATGAATACAGAACTGTGAGCTGCTTGAACTTGCCACAGGACATCTCATTCACAGATAATCTATAATGAAACTTGTAGCAGGTGTTCCAGAAAGAAGTTCTGGTTAAAGATCCTTAGCAGTCCGAATTTTGTAGAAAGGTAAATCTGTACTGACAAAATTTCCGCCATTGGATTGCACATGTAACTACAGAAATACAAATTAATGTATGTTAATCTCATAAAGATCTAAGTAATGTTCTGATGACATGTTAAATTCGATTCTATTCAACTTACTTTCCCCTCTTTATTAAAATCCCAGATGACAGCACCATCATTGTGTAGCGTAAAAAACTTGAAATTTTCCCTTCCCGGTGCAAACTTTATTTTCTTTATCCAACCTCGATTTGTTGGCACTGTCCTAAAATACACATGAAAATAAAGCTGTAAAAGGGCTTTTAAGGTTTCATCATGGCAGATTAAAAGATATATATAGATACTTTCAGATCACACACAATAGAAAGCAAGCATCAGAAATTGACATTGGTTGATGATGATCAGCTTTACACTACGCAATTTCAAATGAACAAGCAAAAATTGGATTCTAGATTCTGACGAAATTCAAGGACAATCTTTTTTTTAATGAAAATTATTTTATTATCTTTAGATTACAAGTTATGAATCAACAGCAACTTTGTTGTTATCAATTCGGTAAAAATAGTTGCTTATCATAATAAAGCATGTGTTATGTTACTATAATACAAATAAACTGTTGATATTGACAACGTATAGTAATGAAGGACATAGACCTACTTGAAGGTTGCATGAAAGCCATTCACCAATAATGTATATTTTTGAATGATGTCAGAATTTGTTTGATGGAATATAACAATGATGATGATGAAAGGACAGATAGTTGAATACTTAAAAGAGGCCAATTATGATATGTGTATTGTTTTATTCAATGGGGTAAACTGCAGTAAACAGATATCAGATTTTTACCACAATAAATACGATCAGTTCGAGGAAAAAATGAAAAATTCTGAATACCTGACAAAGAATTCTGAATACCTGACACATGAGCCGATGTTACAAAATGCCAGATATAGACAATGATGTATTCACATTTTGCAAGGACGGAAAAAAATCAATACACTGTCCATTTTCAGTCATAATTACTGTCCTAATTTTGCAAAAAAAGAAGAAACCACATTATTCCGTAACATTAAGCAAAAATATGTGTTACACGCATTTTTCTTCATGTGCCATATTCTGTAAGACACAGCGTGCAAATTCAACACGCATTTCGCGTGTTTGCATGTTTGCACGGTCTTAAGTAAAAAACAAACCTGGATATTTTCCCCTTTAAATCCCAACAACAGAGAATTCCATCCACATCTCCAAACATCAGGTAATCATTCTTCCATGCCAGGCATGTGATCGTACCCAGACCATTCTACAAAATATAAGATTTAGATTACCATCAACTTCAAATAAAATTAAATTATGTGCAAATTTTGAATTAAATCCACCGAATATAATAGTCCTATGTATGGAATTTGTAGTGATATCAAAAGAAAGAAATCAAAGCATACATTGCGAAAGTTCTTAGATGTTCAATAATAAAGTACAGTAAGTAAAGGGTATGATTGAACAATATCCCACCAGTCGGATAAAAAAAATGTCAAAATTCAAGCTTAATTATTTCAAAAGGTATGCACTATAAAAAATTTTAACATTTTACCTCTGGTGGTATTTTTGTGACATCACTGATACTACTACCCTCTACAATAAAATGAAAGACTGTTCCATCTTTATCAGTCATCACAAAATGTTCACGAACTGTTCCTTTACTGCTTGTCTTCTTTTCTCTAGTAAAATAAACAAACAAACATAATACAACAATGGAACATTCATTCTACATAATTCTGTGAAATACAATTACTGTTTATTCCTGTGTATGTTTCCACTAGAATTTTCTCAGTCTGTATTAAGCAAATGATCTATGTTATCAACTCTCTTATGATAAGAACCTAATTACTATCGTTTAGTTGATCATTTCTTAATGATGCCCAGATCCTCATCAAGCCACTTACAATTACCTCCCCCGTGTACATTGAGTAATGAAAATAAAATCTTCATTGTTTCCATTGTACTTTTGTATCAAAATATTTGACGTACTTGATTGACGTGTTAGAATCAGATTTGGTGAGTTGACCTGATGAAGACATGGCGTCAATCGGGGATTTCATTGGTTTTTCATCTTCACAAGCATCTAGTAATTTTTTCTTAATTGTCTTGGTACTATGAGAAGGCGACCAAATCTATTTATTGATAAAATAAAGAATTCAAACAATACACTATACAATTACTGCAATATACTACACAAACACTGCAATACACTACTACAGCCACACCCTATACAATCACTGCAATACACTACAGAAATACCCTACAGACACGGCAATACATTACATCCAGACCCTACACAATCACAGCAATACACTACATCCACACCCTACACAACCATTTTTTAAACATACATTATGCAAGCGCTAAATCTGCCTATTGCAGGTCTTTCTTTAGGTCTGAAATGTTATCTAAATTATTAATTAGACATTAATTAACTTATCCAGACCATAATAAATTAACGTTGTCATCGCTAGCCTGCGATATTTACTGGATTAGGATCCGATCTGCTGCTCTATGCTCATTCATGATTATATCAAGAAATGGATAATTGAGACTATGTATTTTATCATACCGACTTTAGTAATGATGATCAAGACTAGGCTCAAAAATCAATCGCTAAGTTCTCGGTTCAGAGTGGATCAATTTGACTGAAATTTTCAGAAAATTCCATTTACATTATCTAGTTTTTAACTATTATAGTGAGAATTGCCAGCTCTTTATCGAACCTCCCATAATTTATCTTTAATTGAGACTATGTATTTTATCATACCGACTTTAGTAATGATGATCAAGACTAGGCTCAAAAATCAATCGCTAAGTTCTCAGTTCAGAGTGGATCAATTTGACTGAAATTTTCAGAAAATTCCATTTACATTATCTAGTTTTTAACTATTATAGTGAGAATTGCCAGCTCTTTATCGAACCTCCCATAATTTATCTTTAATATTAAGAAATTTGCATTTTTATGGAATGGACCAGATAAACTTAAATGAAATATAATCAGTCAAATGAAGAATATGGTGGGGGGGGATTAAATATGATAATTTTGGATAAAGAAAATTTAAGAAAATTTATACTAATGCAATACAGACTTGGAAAACAACATATAATTTTATTCTTGACATGTATGGGGGCGATTTACTACCAGTGTGCAACTATGACTCTAAACTTAAAATCTTATCTCCCTTTTATCAAGAATTATTTCAGAATTGGTACGCTATATATACTATATGGTCTGGATAAGTTAATTAATGTCTAATTAATAATTTAGATAACATTTCAGGCCTAAAGAAAGACAGGCAGATTTAGCTCTTGTATAATTTATGTTTAAATCTTTTAATCACATACTCTGGCAGTGTTAAAGCTGAAGCTGGATAAATTATTTTTGATATACAGAAAGTTTTATTTGAAATTTGAATCTTGCCGATTAATGTAAGTTTTCTTTTTCTCCAAGTATTTAATATTTCATGTATCTCAATCAATTTATTTTCATAGTTTAATTTCTCAGCCGTTTTTGTATCTTTGGAGAATACTATACCTAAGATTTTTATATATTCGAATGTATTTCAGATGACAGATTAGGTATTCCGCTATTTAGATCAATGGCTTCAGTTTTTATAACATTAATTTCTAATCCTGAGACTTTACTAAATTTGTAAGTATTTCATATAAATGTCTAGCTGATTTATAATCTTTTCCAAAAACATGTCACTTCATCAGCAAAAGCAATTAGTGTTAATGTTTCCTGACCAATGTCAACCCCTCTAATATTAAAATCATTTCTTATAAAATTACACAGGGTTTCAATTACAAGACTGAATAAGTTGGTGCTAATCAATGTTATATGTCGCCAGTTATATAACAGAGATTTATCTTTTCCTGGTTTAGGTATCAGTCTAATTATTGATTGTGTTTTTAATGAGTAAAATCTTATCAGAATTAGAAGTATTTAAATCAAGTATCTACACCCTAAATAAATGGAAATATGTAGAATGCAACAGATTATTGTAGAACTAGAACTGACATGTAAATGTTTTGTACATAAAATTAATAATTATTAGAAATCATGTTGATGCTACATAAATGAATATATTGAAAATTTCATTCAAATTACTATATTCTGAGCGAAGTTATGGCTATTTAAAGATGTAGCGTGGATTGTTTTTTATTAGCAATGGAACTTGACAATCAAGGCTAAGACTCGATTATCCACTTAATCATTAAATTTTTAAAAATCGCCGGTGTTTTAATCCATTTAAATTTCAGCCATCTGATAGTCTAGTGAGTTGATTATAAGCTTATCATTGCAGTATTTGACAAATATAGTAATAATAATTCTACCAGGTTTTCCATACATGCCAGGCCATTCTTCCCAAAGTCTCTTTTGTATTTGAACAGTTGAATTACATTTAATAACAAGTCTTTACATAAAACTTGTAAATGGTTTTTTTTATTTTTGAGATATATATACACATGATTGATCTGGCTTGTTCTGAAAAACAAATATATGAAGTGAAATATTCCCAACTGATTGTGGAAAATGTATGGTTTTGTCATTAATATCCATGAAAATATATAAATTATAACTTACTGTGGCAGTAGGCCGAGGAAAGTTTTTAGGTAATTCTCTGATAACTGTCAGTGACTTTAAATCCCATAATTCCAATGGTTTATCTTTAAAAGCTATCACAAAATATTGTCTGAAAAAATAACAAACAGAATATTTACAAACTAAATTAGAAAAGGTCAGTACAGTTTTACTGTTTAATGATTATATTACAAAGGTGTGACTGACAGCCAATCTAGCTGTGAATATCTTTAGGTGTCTTCAATAAACCCTGGAATAACTGGTGCTTACTGTCACACTATTGCTAGTACACAAATTAAACCTACTTTGTGCTGTACAGATGAGAAAACACAACAAATTTGACCATAAATCAAAACTATCCGAATTGTTTAAATCTGACATTTTGTAGTAAATATATATCACAAGTACATCTTGGCATCCGGCTTGCTTACAAATGGTGATAATCAGTCAGTGGTTGCTAAATAATGTATTCTTAGTAACAAATCATCAAATCACACTTCAATATAAGTTTACCAAATACTTTTACAGATACAGTAATATTTTTTGATAGTTATCATGATAACTTTTCGAATAGATAAATAGAGTATTTCATTTTCGATCCCACATAATATTCGATAATGTTACAAAAATGTGCATCATAACACATTCCCAACATAACAGACAAAAAAAAACTAATTAACCAGCATGACCCTGTGAATCTGATAGGCCATCGAATTTGGGCCTCTGGCGAATTGGGCCTGGACCCTGGGCAAATTCACGCTTAGCCGCCAAGCTCCACTCCCCACATATGTGCTATCAAATTAACCAGCATGACCCTGTGAATGTGTTTTGCCATCGAATTTGGACCCCGGGCAAAGCTGGGTATCCTGCTAGTACACACATAAAGTTTATTGGGTGGGAGGATATAGCCAATCTAGCTACTACACTAAGAGCTTCATCTCTTTGTATTAAAGAACATAGACTAGAGACACATTTACTTAAATGCGAGACACATTTACTAATTATTAGACACATTTACTAATTATTAGACATATTTACTAATTATTATAAATTAGACACTTATTTCAAATTAGAGACACTTATTTCAAATTAGAGACACTTATTTCAAATTAGAGACACTTACTTTAAATGAGAGACACACTTACTTTAAATTTGAGACTTGTAAACTGATTATTGGTGATTCGTCTTCGGTATGATTTCTAACTGATGTAGATTTACCTGTTCATGAGACAAATTAGATATAAATAATTAAGTAAAGTAATACCATTTGTCATTTTATTAGGGATGTTAAAAACATATATTATCACAACTTACCTGATAAGATATCTAAAAGATAGATCTCATTTTTAACAAGTCCGCTCTGTCCAGGGTTAGCATGTGCATGTGTCAAAAACGTCTTTAATCCAGTCCACTCAATTCCTCTACAAAAAAAAAATACATTGTAATAAGACATGGGCACACAAACTCCTGGGTTAAAAAGACAAAATTAGCTATTTATTTAGAAAATTGGGAAAGGATATACTGTAGATTCTAAGCCTACATTTTGCAAGAGATGGATAGAGAACAAGCTAAAAAAAAAGCAATTTTTTGTACAATTAGGGGACATAATCCAGGTAGTTATGGTCCGAAATGCGCAAATATGGTATTACATGCTTTTACACTATTCGTGTACAAGGAGCGACCATTTTGCCAAGCAGTTTCGTTCGATTTTCACAAAATTCGAAGTCAACCGTCATTAGGGTGTAATGGTGACACATTTAAATATTTTTTTAAATCGGTAAAAAATTGTGACCTCTAAAAGGTTCACAAGCTAAAAACGTGATTTTTCGTACAATCAGGGGCCATAATTCATAAGTTATGCGCAAGTATCGAAAGGAACCATACATTTAAAGTTTCATCAAAATCGGATTAAAATGTGACTTCTAGTGTGTCCCCAACTTTGGTATTACATACTTTTACACTATTTGTGGTCAAGGAGCGGCCATTTTGTTCGGCAGTTTGAGCCAGATTTTTACGAAATTCGATCTCAAGCTTCATTGATGTGTAACGGTCATATCTTTAAACGTTTTTTAAAATTGAATACAAATTGTGATTTCTAGCGTGTCCACAATCAGGGGCCATAATCCAGGAAGTTAAGTTCTGATATGTGTGAGTATCGACAGGGACCAAGATCTTTGTGATATAAACATAAATTTAAAGTTTTATCAAAATCAGATCAATTTCATCAAAATTGATATACCATATATTTACAGTATTTGCATACGAGGGGAAGCCATTTTGTTCGGCAGTTTTGGTCCGATTTTCACGAAAATCGAACTCAACCATCATTACGTTGTAACAGTGATATATTCAAACACTTTTTAAATCGGATAAAAATTGTGACCTCTAGAGGGACCACAAGCTAAAAACAACATTTATCAGCAAATCAAGGGCCATATTTCAGGTAGTTTCGATCTGATATGCGCAATTATCAAAAGGATCCAAGATCTTTGGGTTATAACCATGCATTTCAAGTTTTATCAAAATCAGATGAAAATTGTGACCTCTAACTTGTCAACAAGCTAAAAACATGATTTTCCGAACAATCAGGGGCCATAATCCATGAAATTATGGTCCGATACATGCTAATATTGAAAAGAACCGAGATCTCTGGGAGATAGACCTATATTCAAGTTTCGTCAAAATCAGATAAAAATTGTGACCTGTAGAGTGTCCACAAACACATTGTGGACGGACGGATGGACAGGGTCGACGGCATAATACGTCCACATGTGAAATATATTGTATGTATATACCTGACAGTAGAAGAATGAAGACTATATTCTCTATCAACCTGACCGCTAGAGACATTTACAATCTGTAACATTCCATTAAACGAACCTGAAATAAAAAATAAGAGAAAGTTAAGAAGTCAGTTATATTTTGGGAGAGTCCTACATTTAAATATAGTGGTAGTGAACAGATCAGGGAAATAAATTATCAACTAGAATTTAGCCAGTCAGTCATTTCTTTGCATTTTTTTATATATCAGATTTGCTATTTGCAAGACATATTCAAAAAATAATATAACAAATATACCCATTATCCCAAATAATAAATCTATTATTAAGTGTTTTTACATACAAAAACTATATTTGAACTATATCAATTGTTTTTTAATTTTAAACTTTTTAAAATACCAAATGTTATGTGGCATTTAAAGAAGTGATGGGATTTCGCCCGTATATTCCGGACATGTCCGAAGCTACTTTCCAAATAGGCCAAATCGGACATCATTCCATGGTGAATAATTTTCAAAATTCCAAAATTAATAGTGTACTGAGTATATAACTACCACTTAACCCGATTATCGTTGATGATAGGCTGGATTTGTATTTATCGTGTTACACTGCCTATACCCCTACCTTGATTACCTATTTAATCTACCTTGATTGACTGACTTAATCCTTTGTCGGACAATTCATCAATCTAATCTTAAACTGAAGTTATTGCTTCCCCTTTGTCGGACCATTCATCAATCCAATAAGAGTGAATCTAATTTTAATACAACGTTTTTAATCTTCTTGATGTCTGTTGAAAACATGTGGAAATTAGTCATATACTTCACATATCCTAATAGTGTATATCACCCGAAATCAATATACACTGTATCAAATAACTTCTCTGCGATATCACTTCAGTGGAAGCAAGCGTTAAATAAAGCTATTTCACACACACACACACACATATCCAATACTAGAAAATGCAAGCTCTGCTTCCGATTGCACACGGTTTAGTACAATAACTGAAATGGAAGTAGAAATCTTGCGAGAAGCGTAAAATTATGAAATGGAAATGTGACAAATTCCACATGTCTAATGTCGAAGAAAAGATGGCATATTTGATGGCATATTCTCGGATTTATGATCGTATTTTGAATACGGTTTATGTTTTTAAATAAATAGACACACTAAGAAATGTTGACAAACATTTCGATTTGAATAGTGTAGACGATAGCGCATGCTGGAGTCGAATGCGATTATTTAGAGCGACAGTTACTGCCCAAACAAATTTCGGGATGTCTTTTTTTTTAACCTTTCGTATATAAACAGAGTATAAGATGAATGCCAGACTTTTGTTGAAAAGTGTACTGTAATTTTGGAGGAATTTGAAACAAGTACGGGTCGGCAGTAGTCGGCATGCTTTCATTCTATCGCATTACGACGACTTGTAATTTTGTAGGAATATTACTGACATAAATTTGAATACCGCATGGGGATTAAATATGGAAAAAAATGAGGTGCACCTATTTTTTATTACGTACAAATATTTTGTGGTCTGAAACCGCCTGCTTAAATAATAAGAGTTATGCCCCTTTATTTTCAGTAAAAATGTCTGACAAGAAAAATGTTGAAATCCCAAAATTTTAAAGCTACATTCCTTCAGTGTTGATTATGTCATCTATTGGAAGTGCAACATAAAATCTTATTTTTAACTAAAATTATATTTCTTACAGACTAAAACAATACAATTATAAACAAATAAAATCAGTAAATTGCATGTTATATGCTACACATCGACGTACAAGTTGCTTATTGCCTGTGCTAATAATTACTGTATATTTAGATTTGAAATACCCCCTCCCCCTCCTAGTTCACAAAATATATACCGTAATATGTTTTTAGCAAAAAATATATTTTTCTCTGTAGCTTAAAAATATTTTCCAATCAATGGTTATGTATTTAGGATATCAACTGACCAGGATTTATATATATTTTACTACAACTGAGTCAGCTTTCCTACAAGACATTCAATTTTCCTACAACTCAGTCTAATTTACTGCAAGTCAGTCAAGAATGGTAAATATGAACCATGGTTGTATGTATTCCCTCAATTCCTACTTATACTAACTCTGACAGAATAAAAATATCATACTACAGAAACAGATTAAAACATAGGTCAAAAAAGTATCTGCAATTCTTGGCAGACTGAGCTCCAACCAAATTTTAACCCAGTCAAAGAGTGGTACTCACCGAGTGCAACAAGGGGTCGATAATTTGAGTAGTTTTTATTGGTTAACGGTGGGCACATCCTCAAACATGTGACATGAGAAGTTACTCCATTTAATAATCCAGTCATTAAAAATTTCAACTGTATACTGTGACCTCTAGTTGACCTTCAGATGGAAAATAACGAAATGAAAATCATTTATTCAATACCTTTCTAAAATATTTCAGTTATCTGTAATGGTCATTAATAAAAAGATATACCAGTGTTTCGCAGATAGTAAGTTGAATTTTATAGCTTCTAAGAACAAGCAGGTCACTGTAACCCGGGTATCATTTCATCTTGTGTATCTAGCACTAATTTCTTTCACATTCGTTTAATATCAAATCTTTGTTTAAAAATTTGTCCTGCAACACTGACAAGGGGAAACTACAACGGAAAATCCTGTTGAATAACCCGCTACCTCCAGGCTAGTGAGCCAGTGTCTTACTCACTTAGCCAACATGGCTCCTGTGCTACGACAGAAATTTGCCCGGACAATAATTGAATTCCAACAGTCAAGGGATCTTTTAAGGGCTGTTCGTTGTGTTAAATATCATTATAATGTCAGCTGTGTGAAAGCTGGGTATCAATTTAATATCACTCATGACCAGATGGTCGACCCATTAGGCTCGTTATGTAACGTCTGTTGACTTGTAAAGTACAGAAAGCTTATCTGGCATTATGCAATAGACCAGCTTTGTAGTCATCTTGACATCCTTTGATGGTGCAGTCCAGACACCTACATCTGCCCGTAGATGATTGGCTAACGCGCTCTACCCAATCAGAACATAGTCCATCCTCGACTGAAGACTATCCAATCAGGTCACAGTGTGTGGACGTGGGGGTTGACTTTTGGGGTTGGACATCTGATGAGTCCAAGCGGTTAAATTAAGTAGGGATCTAAACGATAGTTATCAGTTAGTTGGGACCAGGTCCAGAGTTAAGGCCAGAGCCCCTAGCTAGGACCAGGGCTCCCACAACCCAAGCTAACTAAAGAGTCATTAACTAAGGAGTCTTGTACATTATATGTTTGGAAGAATAAAAGTTTAAAAGAGTTGTTTTGAAGAGCCAACAGTGTAACAGTTGCCAGCTGTTCCGTCCTGCAGCCTCACAAGGGTAACCACAATGGAGAATCCTGAGAAACTTTCTTGGCCAACACCGGAATCGAACCTTGGACCGCAAGGTTGGCGTGCCAAAGTCTTACTCACTGAGCCACTGTGACTCTCCATGATTTGCAAAACAAGGGGCCATGGGCGTGTGCTTTAATAACTACTCTTCAATTTTTAATAATAGATTAAAAAAGAATGTAAGCAGTCAAATGTTATATAAATTATTAGATATTAATTAAGGAGCCACGGTGGCTAATTGTGTGTAAGATCATGGCTCACTAGCCTGGAGGTTGCGTGTTCGATCCCTGAATTGGCTGAGAAAGTTCATCAGGATCTTTTTCGGCGTGGTTTAATGTCAGTGGTGCAGAACGGAGGGCCTGACAAGCACAGTTGTCTAGTTGTTCGGATGGGACGAAAAACCGAGGACCTGTGCATACATTGGCACGCACTTAAAAGATCCCTTGGCAGTTGGAATTTGACATAAGAGTAGGCCATAGTGCCACTGTACAGGCAAAATTTCCCTCATAGCAGACTGTATGGCGTATGCCCATCCTCATTAGCCCAGTAGGAGCAGAACATTTGTAATACACTAAAGTTATTAAACATGCATTATGCAAGAGCAAAATCTGCTTATTACAAGTCTTTCTTTAGGCCTGAAATGTTATCTAAATTATCAATTAGACATTAATTAACTGATCCAGACAATAGTAAACTCTCGATGTCAAGGCTAGCCTTCGAGGTTGGCTGGATTAGATTCCTATATGCCGCTAACGGCTATTGATAATTAAATCAACAAAAGTGGATAATCGAGACTATGCTGTTTATATTAATGATGACAGAGACCATGCAAACATTTCACCTGCTTCTTTCTCGGCTCATAGTGGATCAATTTGACTGAAATTTTCAGCAAATTACCTTTACACTATCTAGTTTTTAACTATTATAGCGAGAACTGCCATCTCTTTATCTTATCTCCCATAATGTATCTTTAAGTAATTGTAAGAAAATCATTAGAATTTGTTTGGTTTTTATAAAGTTCTGCCCCATGCTAACATTTAGTATACGAAAGATTTAATATCATGGATTTAGCTGTTCAAGTTATTAAAATTCATTGAAAATCAATATACTTGTTTATCTCAAGACCTTAAACTTTGTGTATCAATCTGAAGTCACTGTGGGCGTATAAAAATGTATTATCAAGGCTACGATATGTTATTTTATCGCCGATATCTAAGCTCAGAGTGAAGTCATTTGACTGAAATTTTCATTTAAAATATCATTTAATAAACATACCTAGGACTATTTGTATTGCCTCCTGGTAATTGTGATGGACCAATCATATCAGCTAAAGAACATTTAGGATATTCTACATTACTAAGAACAGGAAAATTGATATCTGAAGCAGCACCAATTGTATTAACAGGTAATTTAGATCCTGGAGTGTGAAGTGGAGAGGAAGGAAACAGATTTAAACTTGATGATGTTGGAATCTGTAAATAATAAAATTGTTTCATTTAAATCAGGTGTACATTGCAGAAAAAGGTCATTTGTCCAAAACCTTGTATTCAGTTTCATGTATCAATAATTTTATATATTTGACAACAACTCAACAATTCTACTGTGGACACGGTATACATAGATGCTATGATGAATGGATCCATTGATTCAACTTGTTTCTCTTGGATTATCAATTTCAATTTATAAATCAATTTTGAAGTGTTTATATACCTATACCTACACTGTATTTAATATGCTCAACTGTTAAATTCTTTAATATACCTAAGTTATTATTATTACCTTGACAGAGTTGCCTTTTAAATCCCAGAAAATAACACGACTATCACTCATCACTAAAGCAACAGAGGATTCTGACACAGGATTAACCATGATGCCATAAACTTTATTATGTCGAGTTATTCGAAGTGGATCTGACTGGCATCGTAGTTCATACGAAACATCTAAAGATACATTGGGTGGAGAATCATCTGAAACAAAGAAGTTCACTTTTCTTATTAGATTCATCCTGTATTGGGATGCAGATTATAAAAGTACTTGTTTGTCGATTAAAACATTTTCGATTCAATTTTATTATTTCTCAATTTTAACTATTAAACATTCAGTAAGTATCTATAAGGAATTTATTTTCAATCTGTTTCTAAACTTAATACTAAGGCGAGAGAGAAATGGCAAAACAGTTAGTGAACACGTAGCACTAGGTTTTGCAGAAAGTAATATTTTATTAAATAGAGTATGACATAAGAAAATATTATAAAAATACTAACCAAAAGCTCCGCTACCCTCCATGGCAGGTGTTAACATGACGTTAGTTTTACGTCTTACTCTCATTGATATTCCTCCATTTTCATGTAGGCATAAAATAGCATCTCTCTGCCAACATGGTACAACCTGTAACATATCAAAATATAAACGTCAATGTGTATAATAGCTACTGTACATGCCAAACAGGGCGACAGAGATATGAACTATTTTTATTAAACAGCTAGTGATAAAGGTAGAAAAACTAAATTAATCAAAAAAGTAAATCAAACTGTCATATGAACAACACAAAAAGACAAAACCCAACAGTGACAAGTGGTATTAGATTTTCCGGTTGCCATCCTTTGTAATTGACTCTGTTAAATATGTTTGAAATTTATCATCATAAATTTGTGAAATTCCACAGCCTTCTTTATTATGCCCCAATTGATTATCTTTAACAACTTCTAAAAAATATTGTCTTTTATCGCATACTCAAAATTTGAACAGATAAACAGAAACCAACTTTGTGATTTGTAATTGAAAAATGTTGAATATCAATCTATTTTTAAATGATCCCAGTAACAACCATGTTTTAAACAATCCATTGAGCATTTTGCCAAGTATCTTGTTCACAATCTTTTAAAGTTAAAATATGACCAGAAAGATACATATATATGCATGAAATCTGATATGCTGCGATGAACAATTCCATCAAGTTTTTAAAAACTTCATAAAGATCTGTATTTTGTTTACAAGATATAAAAAAATGTTGAACGTGAATTTTGATAGTGGTCTTCCTTATGACACTAGAATTTCAAATAAATCAAACCAAATGAAGTCAACAATGCATCAACAAAATTTGTAGATCTATAACAATGAGTATTAACCTGTTGAAAAGGAGAACTAGTTCGATCCATGGCTATAATTCCAACTGTTTGATTTATTTCCAAGTCAAGTATGAGTAACTCTCTAGCGTAGAGTAAGATGAGGTGATGGCGACAGGAACGATGGTAAGACAACTGTAAACATTCATTTAATGGAATTGATTCTTCATCAGCCTGCACAGATTTACTGAAAAATAAAACATATTCATTGATTCACTTCATGGTATAACTCAAAAGAATGAAATTAATTTCATCTAAATCATATTAAGTCTTAAATCACACAAAGCTTGGGTTTCATGAGCTCAACAGTAAGTGCAGGAGGACGGCACTACATGCCAAAAAAAATGCGACAAGACAAACCCGCAGACAATACAAACTACATAGACATTGCGAGACATAATCAACAAATATCAAGTCAATGTAATCTTATTAAAAAAACTAAAGTTTAAATACTGTAAACTTTGAAAAGTCAGCTTTTTAATTTACAAATATGTAATCTAAAGCAAAAAAATTAAAAGTCCCTGCATTTATGGGGGAATCCACATAAACAGAACTTCTAAAAGTTGTAATTCCTGTATGAGGCAGAAATACTAAATTTTCCCAAAATCCAAATACTTTTTGTTACAGATGTGATCAGTTATCACTGACTTACCTTGGTTTACTTTCACCAATTAATATCCTACTCATTCTTTTAGCAAGGTTTTTTGAGCTTGATGATGTTGATAGCTTTCTATCTAAACTATTTGTTCCACTGACAGGAGTCGAGCCTCCTAAAAGAAAAACATAGTCAATCAGGCATTTTAAACACAGCATTACAGTGATTTCATTTTCTTTTAGTTTTAAAGAGAGAAACGTGACTACTGTAGGGTACATATTTATTAAATTCACTTGCGCATAAGTGTCTTTGGTAGGGGAAGGAAATCAGAGGGCCTAAAGATTAACATAGTTTGTGAATAATCTATTGTGGTCTTTATCATTACAGTCATTTAATATTTTTAAAAGCTCAAATCTCTCAATTTGTTAGCTAAAAGATAAGACTGTATAATATGTTTTATTTTTGTTTTATTCATCAGTCAACTCTTTACATCAATTAGTACTGTATATTAAATATTTACCATGACTTGATGGACTAGATATATAATACTTCTTGCCATTACTTGATGGTGTTTTAGTGATTGTAAAATCATCAATAAACACAATACACTCCTGTCCTAAAACTAAAATAAATAAAATATATTCTCATTCAAAAAATGTTATTAAAATTCTGAAAGAGTTGTTGCACCCATAAATCAGTGCCAGAGAAAAGTAGAATGGTGACTTTCAATTGATCAATCTGAAAAATAAAACATCATGGACCTGATGATTAGTGCTGGGTATTGCCACTGCAGTCACAATACAATACGTATTGCGATTCAGGTGATACGATATGATTCGTATCACGATTCATAACCAGGTCAATGAATAGTTGATATTTTATTGGAGTCACAAATTGCAATTACTGTCCAGGGCTTGAAATGTTTGTTTGCCTACTTGTGGCCTACAGATCAAAAAAGGGAACAAAACAATTTAAGGGTGTTTGTGTACCTATTGATAATGTGTGACATGGATAATTAAGAGTGAGAGGTTAGTTACTGAAGCGACAAAAAAAGAAGCATGATACATTGATTTATCGTTGTGCGATTCATTATGCATATCGTGAGGTGAATCGTCATACACTGATTCAACGATATCGTGCCAATTTGGTTTAAGACATCATCCTTTCCTTTATTTTTTCTTCATATCAATACAAAATTAATGCTAATAAAAATTAACTTACAGACAACATTTCTAGGATTAAATGGATCAAACGAAAAGGACACAAGATTTTCTGTGTAAGATTTTTTCCAGAGTCGTGTCCCGGTGTCTGCGTTCCACAGAATGAGTGAATATGGGGGGTGTAATGCCACTAATAAATCTCGTGAAGCATCTTGATTGGTCAACCATTTTATATCTGAAATAAATACACATACATTCAAAGTTAAATGATATATTATAAAACTATTTTAATAGATAGGAAACGGATAAAATTAGGAAAAGTTAAATTTTTAGAATAAATGAAAATGAAATGAAATGGGGTTTAACGTCATACTGTTCTGCTCCGACTAGGCTAATGAAGACGGACATCCACCATAAAGTGTGCTATGAGGGAAATTTTGCCTGGCCAGCAGCACTATGGCCTTACGTGCACGCCTATGTGTACACGGGACCTCGGTTTTTCGTGCAATCCGAATTGCGCCAATGCAGAGATCGAACACGCTACCTCCAGGCTAGCGAGCCAGCATCTTACCCACCTAGCCACCGTGGCTCCCTTTTAGAAAATAAAATGAAACTAGAGTTCCATCAAATGACAAGCCTGGTAGACGTTTAATAAATATTATTGGTAAAGTGATGAGTATTATCAGATGGCACTATTTATAACATCTGACATACACATATACATATGATTTCAGATATCAAAATTACATGTATTGGTCTACCCTTTCACAATAGTTAAAACCAGTTACTTTTATTAATAACAAGTAAAACTGACTTTGAACTGGTTTATTGTTCTCTCCTTTCACAATAGTTAAAACCAGATATTTTAATCATTAAATAACAAGTAAAACTGACCTTGAACTGGTTTATTGTTCTCAGAGAATTCTAATTTAGCATGGCCTTGGCCTACGTCCCAAATAATGATAACTCCGTTGTTATCAGCTGTAGCTAGACGTAACGTGTATGGACTGTTTAAATCGTGATGATAATTTTCTTTTCCCCATTTCACCTACAAATAAATAATAAGACGTCTCAAACATTTTAAAAGAAATCATACTTTCACCGTTTCTGTATATATCACAAATGATTCAACATATAATTTATCGGGTCTAGAATATTTAAAGATACATTATGGGATATTTTAATAGAGAGTTGGCCATTCTTGCTATAACAGTTCAAAAATAGATGATGAAAGAAGAATATATTGAAACTTTCAGTCAAATTACTTTATTCTGAACAAAGTTATCACCATTGTAATATTTGACTAGAAATAGGAGTCAACTCTCTCTTCACCGTCTCCGAGAAAGGCCGATCGTTTGATTGACAGGCGTTAACTCCACCTACATAATCTTGATTATCAAGTGGTACTGTTAGCCTATTCGGTTTGAGACGGAGTTGAAGTTAAATTCGTATCACATTTATTTTTACTACAAATTAAAAATAAGACTTTTAATATATAGATAAGAAGCGAGAGTTTGAAAGGAATAGACCAAATCAATGAGGCATAATTATAGCCGACTTCTTCAATCTTGTTAGCCTGCGTGTACTCCCTAAGCAGACAAATTGAAATAGGAAACAGTGATCCAATGGGGCTACAATGCAACTGGGATGATGTTAGCTGTGATGTTTATCAATTTCCATAATTTTTCTGAAAACGCAAGTGACAAAAGAGCGTATAATACCGACATCCAAACTCTCATTTTAACCACAACTAAACATAATATCAAGGTCGTATATATCGAACTTTCAATCAAATTGACTGACATGCGGCCTCGCTCAACAGGGGCCTCGCTTCGTACACTCTTATAATTTAGCCTCGATCTAAAATTTCTGGGAGCATGACATCAACGTAACGGTTAATCTCCGCTTACGACGCCATTTAAAAATTTAATCAATCAATGAAATCCTGTTTAAATCCAAGCCATCCGTGGGTCTACAGATTTGATTTTGTGCTTGTTGTGTAAATAAAGATCTAATTTATAATTTCTAGGACATCTGAAGCCTAAATAAAGACTTGCAATAATCAGATTTAGCTCTTGCATAATGTATGTTTAAAGATACATTAGTTAAGAGTTTAATAAAGAGTTGGTCATTCTTGCTATTAATAATTCAAAAATAGATGATAAAAAAAGAAAATATTGAAAATTCCATTCAAATTACTTTATTCTCAGCTAAGTTATCATTGTTTGTAGTTTTGACAAGATGTGTGCACAGTGGTAACCAGGGCACTGGTATAATCTGGACTAAATTATTAAATGGCAAACCGTTTTAATCTAGTTAAAATCTTGAGTATCCGATGCCATCGAGAGTCGATTATGGTCTTGTTTTGTTAATAAATGTCTAATTAATAGTTTATGTAACATTTCAGGCCTAAAGAAAGACCTGCAATAGGCAGATTTAGCTCTTGCATAGTGTATGTTTAAGTATTGGTTATCTTTAATTTATTATGGTAACTTAAAGAAAATAACAAATACACGAAACTAAACAATGTGGCCCGGAGCTTACAGGCAGTTGTCCTTGCAGGCAGTTGACCTTGGAGGCATTTGTCTGGCCAGCAGTTTTCCCGCCGGCAATAGTCTTACACCAATATTTTTTTTGGCAAGATTAGATTAACAAGTTGAGAGAGAGAGAGAGAGAGAGAAATGGGGTTTAACGTCCACTCAACACAAACTAGGTCATTTCAGGACTATCATATCGTTTAATTTTATTTCAATAATTCGCTTGCGCATAGGGTCTTTAGCAGTGGAAGGAAACCGAAGGACCGGTGAAAACCCACGAGGTTGGACAGGCGACCCTACTCCTTGTCACGTACAACCACGCCAGTTGACTCAAAGACAGGCTTTATGATACAGCGCGCAGGTGCTAACCATTCGGCCATCCAACCCCCGATTAACAAGTTGATTTACAGTTTAAACTTATTTTACCTTCACTACATTAGCTTTATGTTTTTCTAATGTCTGAATGACCTAAAAATAAAAAAAATAAATTATGGCTATGTCAGATAAATTGCTGTAAAATGTTGGTTAGAAACATGACTTGAACAAATTGTAAAACTAGATGTATGTTGTAAAAGAAGCCTAACCTAAGCCTAACAGTTTTCTGCAAGATTTTTCTTTCAAAATTGTGTGAAATGTCCCTGCAACCATTTATCATCAACGTGATGAAAATAAAACTCTATATGTCGCAGTGGTGGGAGTTGTGAGTGGGGCAAGGTACAAATACTGGTTTTATACTGATAGCAACACTTTCCATTTTGGAAATGTTATCATTAGACTAGACAGGTTCTATACAGATACAGGTTATATATGATTGATTGTGATTAATTTTTATTTTTTGATAAAACTGAGTCTATTCATCACTGAATGATCACATCAAGACAAGTTTGTTAAAAAGAAACTTTGCATAAAAAAACTTTGAAGTTGAAAGTCTATATGTTCATGTACCTGTAACGTTTTTGGATCAATGACATTTACATAATTATAGCAACCAAATGCAAGTAAACCTTGCCAGCCCCTGAAAACCAAGAAAATAAACAAAAGTCAAAATGTGAATGGAAATTTTACAATTTGAACCGAATGATGTACAATGTATAGGCTACATGTATGTCAAGTACTCTAACTTGATAAAGGGTGCAGGGATATTTATTCATGGCTAGCTTTCATTAGGTTTCACATTACCGCAGTGCATAAATTAATTGAGCATCTACAATCCACACTGCAAGCAAGTATTGAGGGAGTGTTATAACCTTGAGCCGGTACATGTACTGGAATGGTTTAGCACCTACAATTTCAATGTAGCACCTGTTGAAAGTGGACAACAGTAACCAAAACTGCACAAAGTTGACATGACAGTATGGGAGATACAGGCATTGCACTACCCCAAAACTCCTGATTTTGATGAAATTATAAATGAAATGTGGTTAATTTAACATCCTACTTTTCTGCACAAGCAGGCATAATGACAACATGCAGGCAGTGTGATATGAGGTAGCCTATATTTTGTCCAGACAGCAGCGAATTCTGCCTACTCTTCATCGGAGTCAACTTTCATTTCAAGTTTTACATTCCATCCAAACGACCTTAGACTTAGACGCTGATCCCACGCTGGAAAATCGTGGTGAACTTTGGGATCAGACCATGTAATTCCTGGTTACGTTAGTGATCCAACACTATAACTACATAGCTTTGTCTCAATGTCTGCGATATCAATTCGGTGGACGCAGACGTTAAATAAAGCTATTTCACACACACGTACATAGCTACTGATGATATTATAGAAACTAACTAAAATGCTACTGCCCAGCAGTATTTTTTGTGTATTGTAAATGTGTAAGTGTATCATATGTACTAATGTACTAAAAGTAGGCTACAGTAATTCGCTTGTTGAACTTGTTCATTTTTCTATAGTCTTAGAAAATTATTTCTATAAATGATCGAAAGATGACAATATTTTACCAGTCACATGCTCCTTTATTCTGTGCATGCAGGGACCCCGTTAGAGTCTTGGGATAAAGTTTTAACATCTTTTATGCAGACGATGTATTCTCCACAATTTCTCTATTTACTTTTTTTATCCGCCATTACTCCCATAAATAGGCTAAACTAACCGATAAATAATACTCCACAAAATCATCTGTTGGATATAGCGTGAATGATTTAAATTATTTAAAAAGCAATTTTAAGCAAAATGTTTATATGTTTTCGATATGAATTCCCATGATTTTATGTGTTTTAAATTAGTTCAATATTAATATTAATGGCAAATATAAGTAAATAGGAAGATCTGATATCTTCAAAGTGAAATCCGGTGTATTCCGGTGATTGTAAGTGATTACTCTCAATGACGTCTACCCGGATTTATCGGTTAGTTCTTCTAAAACTACTTCCGTCAAATTGTCAACGTGGGGAAAGTTTGAGTCAACCCTAAGTCCAAATCAAATAGTCAGTCGAATAAACCAGTCGGTGGCTGATTAAAATTTTGGAATAGTTTGTAATAAATATAAGTTAAAGAAAAACGCACTAATTCCAATATCGTTTATCATTGTTTTTGTCTATTTTTTATGTTCCCTTATGTTCAAATTAAAACTTTAAGGTGTTATCTTAGTTATTGCCACCGCTGCTTAATAAAGTCATGCTTTACTTTTTCCGTCATCATATTGAGAATGGGGTAGCGGCGAGGGTGCTTCCAAACAAGTTTCAAGTTCAATTTCACCAGTCTTAAGAGATACATGTACTTAAGTATATAGCTACTAATATTTTCGCCCCCTCCCCCCACCTCGAAAAGAATAGAGTCTCTATATATTACATGACTGGAGAAAGGTGACGCGATGGGGGTGGCGTGGGAGGGGCGTGTGAGGATGAGGTACTTGACATTTTCATGTGGCCTCGTCCAGTCGATAAAATCAGTCAGTTAGTTCAGTCTATAACATCAGTCAAAATAGTTCAGTCGAATAATCCAGTCGAATGAACCAGTCGAATAATCCAGTCGAATAAACACTATTCCGCAAAAGAAACAGATACCAAACCCATAGAGTGGGATTGTGGAGTAAGGGGAGGTCACGATAAGACGGGCCTGGCACCTAAACACTAACCCCACAACGAAGACATCTACCAATCCAGAAGCAGAAGAAAACATCTACCAAACGATATGTTTTTTACTAAATAAAGGGAAGAACATCCCACAATACCCAATCCATGGCCTAAGGCCGAAAATGGAAAGATTGCAAAATCATATTCTAAAAACAGGAAGCAGCTTCGGCTCTCCTATTTCTTGTCTGCGATATCACTTATGTGGAAGCAGACGTAAAACACCGGGATACTACTACTACAGTCTATAACATCAGTCAAATAGTTCAGTCGAATAATCCAGTCAAATAAACCAGTTGAATAATCCAGTCGAATTAAAGGGACTGTCCCGATTTGAACAGAGTTTCAAAAATAAAAGTCTGAGTATGTATGAAATTGAAGCTCAAAATAATGAGTCGTTTGGGCATGAACGTCAAACCTGCTTATCCGGACGTGTACCCTTTTAAGATTTCGGGTCAGTGTTTTAGTTGGATGACCTGATAATCGATTCCCATTCCGTCAGAGGTCTATACAATGAATGACCCATGTGCTGTACTTGATAACGATAGGTAATTTCACCTACACATTATTTTTATAAAATAAAATTTTGGTTTTATCCAGACACCGCATAATACAGCTTGGGACACCGGTCTCCATTTCCAGATGAAGACTGACAGGTTTAAGTGGTTTGAAAACGTATCTCATATGTTGAGTAAGTTGCTCGGCCCTAGGTAGAGGATTTTAAGGGATTTTAACACAAAATTAAACAGTTTTATTGTCCAAAATATTATCGGGATTGGCCCTTTAAGCAGCGGTGGCAGTGGACTAAGATAATGTAGTAGCAAATCATGCTCTTAGCCATAGCTGAAGGAGCCGGGGGCATGGGGTGGGGCCGGGGGGCTTCCCAACTGGTTTCAAGTTCGATTTTACGGGCAAAAGTAGTTTGATATGTAAGGTATTCAGGCGATAGTTAAGCCATAAGTGAAGGAGCCAGAGGCTCGGTAGGGAAGGGGGAGGGGTGGGTGGGGATGGGGGAGGTCTTCATCAGTCTTAAGTGATGCATGCACTAAAGTAGATAGTAATATTTTCGCCCCCCCCCCACCTCGAAAAGAAATGAAATGAAATGAAATGGGGTTTAACGTACTACTATTCTTCCCCGAACTGGGCTAACGAAGACGGGCATACGCCATACAGTGTGCTATGAGGGAAATTTTGCCCGGACAGCGGCACTACGGCCTACTCTTATATCAAATTCCAACTGTTAAGGAATCTTTTACATGCACGCCAATGTGTACACGGGGGCCTCGGTTTTTCGTACCATCCGAACGATTAGACAGCTGTCCACCTCGAAAAGAAAAGAGTCCCTAAATATGACATGAACGTAGAAAGGGGATGCGATGGGGGTGGGGAGGGGGAGGGGGCGTGTGGGGATGAGGTATTTGACATTTTCATGTGGCCTCGTCCAGTCGATAAAATCAGTCATTTAGTTCAGTTTACAACATCAATCAAATAGTTCAGTCGAATAAACCAGTCGTATAATTCAGTCGAATAAACAAGTCGTTCAATATTAAGCAGCGGTGGCAGTAGACTAAGATAATATAGTAGCAAATCATGCTCGTAGCCATAGCTGAAGGAGCCGGGGGCATGCGGTAGGGGCCGGGGGGCTTCCCAACTAGTTTCAAGTCTCCAACTGGATGCACTTAGGTCCATATGTGGGGCTGTTAGGGGTACCAGCCATAGACTGTTATATAAAGAAACCGGTTTTATTACGCTAAAAGACAGACGCAGAAGACATAAACTCAAACTCATTTATAAAATTATAAACGGCCTTTCTCCATTTTATCTTCATGATTTAATCTTGACAAAAAGCGCACATTATAATCTCCGAAACACATGCCTACCGGAATATAAATGTAAAACAAATATTTTCTATAATTCTTTCATACCATCGTCAATTAGAGAATGGAACAAATTAGATGCCGACGCAAAAAATTCATTATCTCTAAATATTTTCAATTCGAAACTTATGGCTCAAGATTCAACCCCACCAAAAACCTTTTCGTTTGGATCCCGCACAAACCAAATTATTCATTCTAAACTGCGTCTCTCTTGCAGCAATCTACACGGCCATAAATTTTTACGTCACATTTCTGACAATCCATCCTGTAATTGTGGACATCAATTTGAAGACACCGAACATTTTTTATTGAAATGCTCCTTATATTCAGATGCCCGAAATAAAACAATAAATAATTTATCGACTATTCATCGAAACACTACTGTTTTATTGTACGGAATTGAAGACGTGGAAGACTCACTCAATATTTTTAAAACTGTCCATTCGTTTTTCGAAATCACCAGACGGTTCCAGGGACAACTATAAACACTCACTGTAAATATATTCTCACTATAATCATACTTGCACCTGTACATTGATTATTAATTTCTAAAATGTAAATACATGTATCTATATCTGACAGGGAGAGGGGTTTAATATAGGCTATGCCTGTTCCCCAATCCCTATTCAGATACAAATCTGAATAAAATATTGCTTATAAAAAAATATTTCGCCCCACCCCCACCTCAAAAAGAATACAGTCCCTATATATGACATGACCGTAGAAAGGGGATGCGATTGGATGGGGTGGGGTGGGAGGGGCGTGTAGGGATGAAGTAGCAAATCAAGCTCGTAGCCATAGCTGAAGGATCCGGGGGCATGGGGTAGGGGCAGGGGGGCTTCCCAACTAGTTTCGCCTGCGACGGGTGAGGACCAAAACCCCACCCATGTCCTCGGCTCCTACAGCTATGGCTACGAGCATTGGGCTACTCTATATTATCTTGGTTCACTGGTGGGCTGTTTTTCCGACTGGTTTCATCGACTGAACTATTTGACTGATTTTATCGACTGAGATATGTGGGGGATTTTATCGTCTGGACGATGCCACATTAAAATGTCAGATGTATGTAAGATGAATCAGTACTTGGAGAGACAAGCTTAGGAAACCTATATACTACATATAGTTGGGGTCCGATTTATAGGAAGTTATAAGGTGTTTAATTGTTGCTGTTATGTATTTGCTCCTGAAATAAAGTGTTGAAGATCCATTCCAAGAATCTGTATTCATTTCTGATCCTAAGAGAACACGCGTCGAAGAGCTACATTCCCTGCAAGTCAAATTGTACATATATTGGAGAAGAAGTGCACATAAGATGGACCAGGAAACTTTGAGATACGTGTAGCCAATGGTCACTATATCCACTTTACGGCAAGTTCACACCAATCTGATTGAAATTAATTCAGCTATCTTCACTCAAAGTCGCAAAAATAGACCTCACGTAAAAACGACTTTGCCAATTATCGAAAACACTCTTAATCCCCTCAGACGCCAGTGACGTCACAGTGACCGAATGCATATTCGGAATGTTTATTCCTTAATTACCTATATACAGCTGGCGTGTGTATTCATTAACGCTTGACTGACTCCTTAATCCCCTAATTAAATAAAACAATTGACTGCGGAATATTTTTTTTTGTAATTTATTTTAATTCTATTAAGAATTTGTTTTATAATGTCCCGCCCTCTCTTCTCACAACAGCTATTTTAAAACTGTGTTTTAAAGTGACTTTTTGATAAGAGCCACTCTACCATCGTGTGCAGTCCAAACGATTCGAGATACATTTCCGTCAGAAGAATATTGTGGTTCTAATTTCCCCGAGTAAAACAGTACAGAAGTAAAAGATGTGGTCATGCAAAATGAATCATTAAAGTCAAACATGACTGAAACGTGATTTTTTAATGACGATCCGTATCTCGATTTCCTGTAGTCATCGTACGGCGTCTTTCTTTCTGCATGTGGATTTGACTTTATTACTCTGAAATCGACCGTAAAAATGAAATACGAAAAATATCTCAATATTATACGTTAGAATTAAGAGACTGAGAACGGTCATCGAACTATCTTTGTGTATTGATAAAGTGTACTGTCGTTAATATCTACCATTAATCAATCCGACTAA